ATTATAAGAATAAACTATGATATAATGGCACAATACAATGTGACACCGATCATACTGAGAGAAAGAATCTTACCCTTTATTGTCTTCTGGTGGTGCAGGGTGTCCATATGCCAATATTGTGATCCCAGGAGATGGCGCCATTTGTAGGATGAAGCTTCTTTTGCAGAGTCAATTGCCGGTCACTCCGGTCTTTCAGGGTCCCGTTTTGCCCTCACTACAGTTAGTGGTCACTTGCAGAAGTGGGGCATGTTACAGTGTGACAGCGGGCAGAGGAGGAGACACATGCACTGTTGCACTTACTGAAAGGTACTAAATACCCACAGTTATTCAAATGGGTTCAAAAATACTAAGTGTGGTGTATAAATAGCTAATAGTCTGGTTCGGTGTTTGCTGGTCCTGCAGTTCCTCTGAAACCCTCTACCTCCCCCAGTTCCACATGTCTAGATCTGCTATGTGATTTATGTATGCCTATAAATGTAGCAGCAGCATATCTTACAGCTGTATTTATTGCCATGCATTGCAGATCTTACCTGCCAAGATCAAATACATTAATGCTGTCATGTCCATTAACATGTTAAAACCTGACATGCTTGAAATAAATATGACTGTCTCTTATCAGACCTGCAGGCCCAGGCAGTTCTGTCACTGTTGCTGAACCTGTGCCCTTCCTGAAGTGTCTGGTATTGTACAATTTTGCAGCATAATTCAGATATATATGTGTATCTTTATATTATATGTGTGTGTGTGTGTGTGTGTGTATACAGTATATACCTGTATGGTTGTGACAGCTACTTTAATGGTTTTGTTTGCAGTTGTAGTTGCAGTTAGTCCGAGATCTGAAGTCACTTTATTAAGAAAGTATCTGCCAAGAACATACATGTAAATGTATTTCATTCCTGAAATTGTTTTTAGATTTTGTTGATGCAGAGAAATGGGCAAGTATCCATATGGGAAACAGAGGATGGAGCACCAGTATTTATCTTAAACCTGCCTCCAACTCATGTGCTGGGCTCACTCAGGGAACCTGTGTGTCTGCTTGAGCCAGTCCAACAAAAACTATATATTACAGGTAAACTTCAGACAAATTAGTAATTTAGCTGAACAACAACAAATAAGGTTTTATCATGTTCATATGTAATATCGTATTATTATATGATTGACTCTTTTTCCTGCTGTAGGGGACGTTCACACAGAACACCTTTTTGCATTTCACTGTGCTGCTTTTCCATTGTTTTTTGATGTAAACATGCAGTCGGACATTTTCTTTCTTTTACAATGTCTCATGCTTTACAGAGCATTTTCTAAAAACCCAGAGGTCAAGTTAAAAAAACACATTTCTAGACCTTTTTTTTCATTCCATTATTTACATTGTTCCGTGTGAATGACGTCTTATGCTGTTGAAGTTGTGAGGCAATGCATCAAAAGTGACACATTTTTATTATTATTTGTTATTTATTGAGTGACATTTAAAAAAGGATTGTGGTCATGTTGACACACTTGATTTTTTTATTAGGTGACAGAAAAACACCTTTGGTGGAGGTGACTGATAGGAATAAGGATGAGAGCTCTCTCTTCGTCTTCAGCTTTTCAGAATACACATTGATGGATCTATACCGTGTCACAAGTCCAGCTGTAAGTGAAAAAGAGACCAGAGCCACACTCTCAGATTTGGAGGAGGCCTGCAATCTTTACTTTAAGGAAAGGTGGGTGAAGTGTAGTTCAGTATTAAACAGTAAAAGTAAGAAAAAAAATTGAGAATCTTTTTGTACGCAGTTTTTAGTAAATGAGACCCAATGTGACATGCAAGCTGTTCATCAAATGTTAAATTATTAGATAGGACTGTGTGAATGACGTCTTATGCTGTTGAAGTTGTGAGGCAATGCATCAAAAGTGACATTTTTATTATTATTTGTTATTTATTGAGTGACATTTAAAAAAGGATTGTGGTCATGTTGACACACTTGATTTTTTTATTAGGTGACAGAAAAACATCTTTGGTGGAGGTGACTGATAGGAATAAGGATGAGAGCTCTCTCTTCGTCTTCAGCTTTTCAGAATACACATTGATGGATCTATACCGTGTCACAAGTCCAGCTGTAAGTGAAAAAGAGACCAGAGCCACACTCTCAGATTTGGAGGAGGCCTGCAATCTTTACTTTAAGGAAAGGTGGGTGAAGTGTAGTTCAGTATTAAACAGTAAAAGTAAGAAAAAAAATTGAGAATCTTTTTGTACGCAGTTTTTAGTAAATGAGACCCAATGTGACATGCAAGCTGTTCATCAAATGTTAAATTATTAGATAGGACTAAATGAGTATGGTAAGAGATTTATAAAAAGATTTATGATGAACTGTATAAAGGCACGTTCACACCAAGAACGATAACGCTAACTATATCTCTATATATACACAACTATATACTGTATGATAATTATATTAGTGTTCACACCAATAGACTATAACCTTTTTTATAATATTTTTTCTAAGAGTGCTTATGGTCTGTGAACATATTTGCAGCGTATGTTTTAAAGGATTTTGAATGGCTGTTAATGTTTTTATCGTTCATTAGCTGGAGAAAAGTGATTTGTAATTGATTCCATTGCTATTGTTCCTCTGTCTTTATTGTTGTTACTTCTGTTGTGGAAAAATTCTAAATCTGTTATTGAATGTCAGACCGAGAGTGAAAACCCAGTCATAGGATTTGTCTTTGGCTCTTTAATTTTTGCAAAAATGGTCAATCCAACACAGAGACGCTCTGAAGTGAGAAAGACAGAAGGCAATTCAGTACAGTCTCTTTTATACTGATAAAGGCTGCCCAAGAATCGACATTGATCTTCAACAATATCTTCTCAGATTAGTTCAAACCGGTCATAGCCATTCCCCTGTTAGAGGAATGCTGACAGTTGTTTTATTCACGTACACAGAGAAAATACCTATGCAAATAGAAAATGTGGAAAATGGAGAATATACAATATGGAAAATAGAAAATAAAGAAAAATATAGAAATGTCCATCCCATTCCTTATCTAGAAGAATGATTTTTAAAAAACTTGATGTTCATAGTTACCGTTCTTGGTGTTAATAGGCCTTAACAATGATTTGGCCTGTAACTTAAAACACTGAGTACACTTTACATGTGTAATGTCTTTGTGTGTGCAGAGCTGACTCTTGGAAAGAGAGGAACAGAAATTTGGCTTTCCATTGGGAGCAGCTTTCGAAGCGTGATATTAAATGAAGCTTCATAGACTACAAAGAGATCCAGACAATTCATACTGAAAGACAGAGAATGCGTTTTCTTTTTTATGTATTAATGAGGATCAAATGCATGCACGCATTAATTCATCAATTAGCAAAAAATGGTACGGTTTAACTTTTGATGTCATATTTTAAAGAAAAAAAAAACATTGAAGCTCTTCTACATGAAGCCAGGCCATGTGTTTATATATTCACATGTCCTAATATATGTTTATACTGTATATGGATGAGCAATCTGTGCATTTGATTAAGCTTATTATGACTTGATTCTAATATTTTTCCAACATTTACAGCTTTGTTGCAGTAAAGTTTAAGTAAACAAAAGTCAATATAATTGTTAGTATATCTGTTATGCACAGTCTCATGCTCTGTTCTGAAGTCAGAAAATGTTCATATAATATCACAGCTAATCATGTCTCCCACACATTATACTGAATGTCACCACAATTTTTCTGGTTGCATTGTTCTTATTTCATATGACAGGCCATAGGCACTGGTTTTCAGATTTGCTCAGGCATATTAAAAACCTCTACCATTCCATGTTATTCATGTCATTTTGTTTATTCAGTTTTTAGTTACATTTTTACTCGTTCTTTAATTGGACTGGCCATGGGCAGTGGGGAGGCAGTATTATGATTTTTGTGAGGTTATGGAACATTGCATGATCTGAGTCACAGCCCGTATATTCATGAGCTGCATGAATTTAATGATCTGTGCCAAAGCCTTTAAGCCTTCAGTTTCCAATTCATTTTATTGTAATTTCAACTTTTAAACCACAAGACAAAACAGGGTTACCATAAGCATAAACCAATACTCAATATCTATCATTTTAAATCACTGTACACTTTAGTTAAGTAGATACATAAAAGATCCCTGCTCATTTTGCTGCTGCCAGAAGAAATGCACGTGATGTGTGTTAAAATATCTGTCGTTCACAAAGTACATGAAATAGCCTTTCAAAGGACATTGTGAAAAGAAGATATGGTGTATATTTGAGACCCAAATGCAAAAACAAACAAAGAAAAAACCTAGATGATACACTACAGTTCAAAGGTTTTGGGTCAGTAAGATTTTAAAATATTTTTGGAAAAAATGTTTTGCTCACCGAGGTTAAATTTATTTTAATCAAAACTACAAAAAAACTATCATAATATTTTATATTACAATTTAGAATAGCTGTTTTCTATTTTAATATATAAAATGTAATTAATTCCTGTGGCAAAGCTGAATTTTGAGCTGTCATTACTCCAGTCCTCAGTGTCAATGATCCTTTAGAAATCATTCCAATATGCTAATTTGCTGCACAGGAATCATCTCTGTGGAAACCGTGATACATCTTTTTCAGGATTCTTTGATGAATAGTCGAGAACAGCATTTATTTCATTGTTTTTTTGTAACAATTAAAAAGTATTTACTGCCTTTAATTTAATGTCTTTGCTAAATAAATATATTAATTTCTTTTAAAAAATCATACTGAAAAAAACTGATAGTCTGTATAATAACACACCAAAACATTGCTGGACCCCATTGGCTTTCATTGACATCTCAAGCCTCAGCATGCAAAAGATTTACCTCATTAGTCAATATGAATGAACTACTTTAATTACAGTAAATAAAATATTTTTGAAACATTACATGTGAAACCTTTATACATATCAGATTAGATTAAAGTGTCCATAATGGCTTTCATGGAAATTAAATGGAAAGCTATCATACATATAGACAACTCATGTGTTTTGGCTTTTTGGGTTTAATGACTTGCAAAGGCCACACCATTCTTTGCCCCATCATCTCCAATCCTGTGCACATACTCTCCGTCCCATTCTAGCTTTTCTCTAGAAGTCTGCTGAACTGTCAGTCTCTTTAAAGTGAGCGAGGAGGTGGAAGTTCTGATGGAAGTCATCAAAGAGTTATTAGTGTTCTCCAGCTCAAAGGCTACAATGTTATGTTCACGCTGTCGGTGCTTCATGCCTTTGCATGGAATGGTGAAGAGACCGTAGATGATGGGGTCCAAACAAGCATTTAACAGGCCAAATATAAAAAGGATGTGTGAGAGGGACTGGGACACTGTTTCCTCCAGGCCAGCGGGACAGAACCAGTACCACAGGCCAAGCATGTAGTAGGGTGTCCAACACACCATGAATGACAGCACAATGACCACAGTCATCTTCAGCGTGCGCATGCGTGCCTTAGGGATGTTGTTTTTAGACCTGCGCAGCTGCACTTTGTTGGACAGCACTGGATGTGACACAGATCACAACAGAAGCAAGACAGATGACACATAATAAAGTTAGGGCAAAGACACCTCAGGGTAATGTCACTTGCAAGCTGATCAAGAAGTTACCATTAGAATTTTTTTTTAAAGAACTTACAGCTGTCTTCGGCCATTTTATTGGAGATCTCAAACAATATCCTGGTGTAGCAGGAGATCATGATGAAGAGTGGGAAGAGGAAGAGGAAGGTGAAGGTAAGCATGTTGTAAAGTGTCTCCTGCCAGTGTGAGCTAAAGCTGCCATAGGTTGTACACTGGATAAACCGCTTGGGGGAATCAATCACCACAACCTGGAAAACAAACACCTGGACAAAGAGAACATTACAGGCATTCTGTTGCAAGACATCTACAAGCCGAAACCATAAAAAATGTTGTTACTTGAAATGGAATACACATTAACTGAAATAAAATATTAAAGAAACGGAAACTTATTTTATTTCAACTAGTTGCCAAGGAAACGTCTCAGGTTACTTATGTAACCATGGTTCCCTGAGTAGGGAACGAGACACTGCGTCCTCTAGGGGTCGCTATGGGGAACGCCTCGTCGTGACCCGTGTCTGAAGCATACATAGAAAAAACACCAACTCATTGGCTGGCGACAGCCATAACGTCACTACCGGTGCGACTATAGTATAAATAGCTACACATCATTCACTTCTTTGTCTGAAGCTTGCGTCCGCAGCATGGCAAGAAACCTAGAGGTCACGTTCCCTACTCAGAGAACCATGGTTACATAAGTAACCTGAGACGTTCCCTTTCATGGGAACTTCGAACTGCGTCCTCTAGGGGTCCCTATGGGGAACGGTATACCCACGCCACCATGCTGAGGGGAGTGCATGCCAGAACCATGGCGAGCACTAAGTACCAACTCTACCATATTGCTATGGGAGTCGCCCCTGGGACGCTAGACGGCTATCAGTGACTTTATTCCCCATGGCCAAAGGCCTAGGCTACATACCCCAAATACTTACCTGTTAGGGGCCAGACTCCTGGGCCCGGGGTAGAGTGAGTATATATTGATATATCATTCTGATCTGGACAAAAGCGCTGACACCCTGTCTGGATGATATCCCTTAGGTCTTTTACTTACCTTCCTTTGACCCGCGATTCTTCCTACCAAGCCATTTCCTGCTTTTGCTGGGCTGATCCCAGCAAAGCAATGGCCCCTGAATCAGACAATGTTAATGAAATAACATCATCCTCCAGCGGCTCACTCTCGTGCACAGCCGACGATCGCGAAAGGGAAATCCCCCTTCAAACTCATC